CTTCAGCAGATAATTTTATATTATGTAGTTCAAGATCTGCAACAACTCCAGAGAGTTTCAGAATGTGTTTCTCGTTGCACTCAGTTCCACTCTGGTATTTTAAAGAGAAAATGCGATCACGATAGGAAATAAAGAAGTGTAGTAACATTATCAGTTATCATAGAGTTTAAGGTGCTCTAAAGTCATTGAGCATGTTTCCTTCATTTTACACAAGGCACTTGAGCCTGTAGAGGTGAATCAGCTCATACAAAATCACATGTCTGGATGAAGGTGAACCCAAGACTAGGTATCTTGATTATGGATTCAGTTCTTTTTCTATACTTGATAGTACCTTGTTATAATGTTAAAGCTAAAATTAATTTCACTTAATAAAGAACTGAGATCATCAAAATTTCACTAGAATCTGTTTGCCCCACTTCCCTTTCTTTACAAGTAAAGTTTCCCTAGTCCAGAGGCAGAAGATTTTCTCCTTTTCTGTTCTTTGAATTCCAGTAATTTTGCCCTTCTTTTTCTTCATTTTCAGGTTTTATTTTCATTGTTTCCAATAATCTTGAAACCTACACATTCAGCATATAAGAATGTGACTAGCTACCCAAGCCCCAGATACAATGTAAATACAGCAGGCATAAAATTCCATTAGTGGAAAGTGGATAATTACACATTGAATTTCAATTTAATTTTTTTTCAGTAACAGAAATACTCACATACATTCCTTCTTGCATTTTGTTATTCATTTAAAATTATTACATTCATTTTGTATACACAGATTTTTTTCATAAGAAACAGTGCAGTTTCAAAAGTATTTATGTATGATTATATATTGTTACATTTAAGTTAAAATGTTCTAGTTTTTAAAATTTTTGTTCTTTTAAGTAAATATTCCATATGCAGAAACACATATCAAATTGCCTTTCCTTCTTTTCTATTAACTGGTTCTATGTACACATTGTTTTATTATATAAAGAAGCACTGATTAAGTAAAGGGAAGTTGTTAATGCAATATATGGTCCTCAGTCTTAAATATAAATTATTTTTTGCCTATATTATTAGTTAATTTTAATATTCTTCAATGATTAATTCTTCTGGACACAAGCAATGAGATAAAGCATTCCAGTTATCCAAATAACAGGAAATGTTATTTCAATCCCTAAGACCAAATAAAACATGATACCAAAATGAGTTTAGGAAATGCAAAAATAATAATAAATAAGTCCAAAACCAGGGATCTGACAATGTTAGTTTCTGGAGAGACCTCTCTCCTTAACTTCCAATCTACCTCCTTTTTGCTTTATTCTTACTTGGTCTTGTGACTTCATTCAACCTTAATTACCTCCTTAAAGATCTTATCTCCAAATACAGCCACTTTGGAGAGTAGGGCTTCAACATATGAATTTGGGTGGGATGCAATACATTGTCTTGAACTGACCAAAAATTTTTATACCCATTTCTTTAGGTTTGCTTTGATTCCTTTATCTTTTTTTTTTCTTTAGTTTTCTTTGTTATATTTATGCATCAGAAAAACAGATGAAGACTAGATTTTGTTGTTTATGTTGTTTTACCATCATATATTAAAATTATATCAAGATTATATGTCATTTAAAAATAAATTTGGTATTCTAAACCTTCACTGGGATTATTTTTGTCAGATTTTATGGATATTTGTTGAGCATCTACTGTTTATTAGGCTTTGTACTAAGAAAACTATGCCACTCAAAATGATTAAGGTCTAAGGGTGATGTCAGCAAGATATCAAAATAATAACATAAAGCCCTGGTTCTCACCACCTAAGCACCATCTAAAAATACATTTTCCAAAGATAATTCATAATTCCTGAAATAAGATGGTGCTGAAAGTTAAGAATCTCCTAATAATGAATAAGAAAATTCATTGCATTTAAATTGCATCGGTTCTTCAAGTCTTGCACAGATAATGTTTGGAAAGAAACACCCAAATTATGGCTTCTTCCTTGGGAAACAAAAAGGAGTGGAACAAGCATCCAAAATTCTGACTTTTCAAGGGGCTACCAGAGGATCGCCTTAAGAACTGAAGAGAATTCTATCACACTATAATGTAACTGAATCTTTATGACATTATGTTTGATAAAATAATCCAGCCAGGGAATGATGAATATTTCATCATTCCATTTATATAAGGTATCTTAAAAGTCTCAAACTTTTAGAAGCTTAAAGTAGAATTGTAGCTGACAGGAGCTGGAAAAAGGGGTAAATGGAAAATTGTTGTTTGATGTGTAGGAACTTCAGTTAAGAAGATGAAAAGGTTCTAGACATCTGCTGTACAACTATGAATATGTAGCTGACAATAATGTATTTCTCTCAAACATTTGCTAAGAATGTAAATTTCATGATTTTTGCTTTTACCACAATTTAAAGATTTTTTAAAAAAGATGTTGTAAATCTCTCCAGGCTAGAAACCATTAAATATGTAGTTCTGTCCATATAACATTGTCCATAACTATATAATAAGAAATAGTCTAAGATGGTGCATAGAGAATGATATGGGAGAAAAGTAGAGGAGCACTTTTCTAGCCTTCCATGGCTACCAGGTCACCAGAAAAGACCTTCCAGAAGAACTGAGGTCAAAGATAGAGAAAAGACTAAATGAAAATTTGTACCCCAGTGTCAAGTTTCAGAAGATGAGGTAGTAAGTATTTCAGTAAAAGGAGAGAGGATGTGAGAAATGTTAAGGGTAATAGAAAGCAGATTTTACTTTGGGGTAGGAAGTATGGGATAGTGAAAACTGAGAAGTAAAGTGGATAAAGAGAAAAAAGGTACCAGCAGAGTCAGCATCATATTGGAACTAGTAAAATATGTAGAGATTTGCTCTTTCAAGTTTTTACCAAATAGATGAACTTCCACATTTATTTTATTTATACACTATATGATGCAGTCCACAATGTATATGATGTGGCATACATTAGGTCTTCAAAATATGTATTAAAAGAGTTAGTAAAGTTCTGGGGCTCAAATCTCAGCGTGGAGTGAGTACTCAACACAAAGTCCTGAGTTTTCCTACTTGTATCTGAAAACAGGCACCACATGCCCTGTGCATGTGTGTACAAAGGGAGATAGAGAAAACACATACATACACACACACACACACACACACACACATACACACACACACACACTCAGGTAGAACAATATATATCTGTTAAGGGCAATGTAAAATTTATACCTATACAGAAATATGTGTGTTTCCATGTGTTTGTGGAACCTATTCATGATATTGTCTTCAATAGCATTTTAATGATAGTTATATATATATTTTTGATAATTTTAATCTCAATTCCAAGAAGTTTGTTTAATACTCTTTATATATAGTCACTAGTGAGTTTGGGCCAAGAGACTAAAAATATACACCCTTAGCATAATCAGAAAGTTTAGGACTGGGGTTTTTTGGCTCAGTGGTAGAGCACTTGCCTAGCATGTGTGAGGCACTGGCTTCGATCCTCAGCACTACATAAAAATAAATAAATAAATAAAGGTCCATTGACAACTAAAAAATATTTTTTTAAAAAAGTTTAGATGATAATGGTTGCAAACCTACATACTTTCTTGATCATCAAGGCAGAGTATATTAATTCAATGAAATATCCTTTAGACTGGGGACAGAAGTTCCAATAAAGGAACAGACTGCATTAACAGTTGGATGGGCATTAGCTATGACATGTTTGTCCTTGATATTCAAATATAATAGCCACTGGGTGAGATTCTCTCAACATGTGAACGTATTTGGAAAACCAAAGGTGTGTGACCAGCTGCTCACAGGTGTAAACTCTGTTGAGCCTTTCATATTTGGAAGCTCAACCTCTTTGACACATGCCCCACATATGCCATTTCTTAGGAAAATATACAAAATCCCCTATTGTTTTACACCAATTCAATTGACTTGCTGCTGTTTCCCTCTACTGCACAGCTGTGTCAAAGGGCCTGCATGCTGCCTTGGGAGATGCAACTATAAGCTTAATAGTAAACCATTTTTAATAGAGTACTAACTATGACTTCTAGAGAAATTGTTTAAGAACCAGAACATTTATAACTACAAGAAATCACAAATTATAAGCAAACTCTTTAATTACATAAACAAAAAATGTAAGTTTATAGAATTTAAATCAGTTACCAAAAATTCTGCATTGGTTAGTAACATGAGTGTTGTAATTTCCAGTGTATAATACTGTTATTAAAATAGTACACTGACAACAGGATGTTGTATTTGCTCTTCTTCTTCCCTCCTCCTTCTTTCCTTTCTTTCTGCCTTCCTTCCTCCCTTTCTTCCTTTATGTATATAACTACTTACACACTAATTTTCTTATTCACAATTTTGTTTTCCCAGTACCTAACATGTTCTGGTATAATTGCTAATTTTTATAATATGAAAATATAAACATAGTTATAAAATTAATAGCTAAGGATTTAGAAAAAAGATAGTATAGATCCATTTTTCTTTGTACCTCCTTTTTAAGAGTAATTATATATTCTGAAACTTATTTAACAGACAACAATAAGAGGATTCTAATATCTCAAAGGAAGGAGGAAGACAAGCTAGAGAGTGTAGGACTTCATAAATAATGATGTGGTGAGTTCCCTGGGTTTTATTTTTACTTCTCATATACCCAGGTAGTAGAGAAGCTTGACACAAGAATAACCAATAGAGAAGAAAATAAGAAGAAAAATAAAAAAGGAGAAACACATTCAATCCTAGCAGAAGTCCTGAGAAAACAGAAATTCAACACACCTAGTGTGGAGATCTAAGCACTTCTCCGCCCCCTCCCCTCAAAAAAGGGTCTCCTTTTGGTCCTGTTCATTAACAGTAATGGCAGTAGTAAATTCTTATTCATACCAGCTATCCATTCCTTGTCCTGAACCAGAGCTTAAAGAGTGATCCCCTCTGAACAAAACCACAGCAGTAGCAAAGCCCTGTGTCTCCCTGACTTTAACCCAGGGAAAGGAGAGACTTAAGTCCAATGGCTTCTTCCTTACCCTAAAAGAATGCCCTGAGGTCCCTTAGTTGGAACCAGTTGGCATTACGCAGGAACTCCAGCAGCACTGTAAAACAAAGCAGACAAAATTAGCATTGCAACGGTTCAGAAACTAAACTCTGAGAATTAAATCTCATGTAAGTATATTAAAATTTATATATTAAACTTAAAAGAGTGACTATCTACGAAAAAAGAAGACTTAGAGATAGAATCTCCTAACAAAATTGTCAAAATGTCTGGGATACATGAAAAAAATGACTTGTTATACCAAGAACCAGGAAAACCTCAGGAAGTCCTATAATTAGATAGATATTTTAATTGTCTCTTAGAAAAAACACGAACCATTAACAGAACTAAGGAAAGATGCTTAATCTCATGAGAAAACCAGAATAATGCAATTAAAATAATGCTATAACTTGAAAGAATTTTAATTAGTGGAGGATTTTTGATGTCAATTTATTTGATTTAAAATTTTAATATGGAAAGTAAGTATCTTTATATCTCTTAATAAAAATTCACATCTATATATTCTAAATTGCAAGATCTGGGTGCAGGTGGTGTTTGCCTTTAGTCTTAGCACTGAGGGGGCTGAGGCAGGAGGATCACTTGAACCATAACTTTAAGATGAATCTGAGAAATAGGAGACTGTTTGAGAAGATAATAATAGTACTAAAATGTAAAAAATAAACTAAGCAAAGAACTACCATAAAACCTCTTTAAATATCATCATTTTTACAATAGTACTGTACATCTTGACAATGAAACAATGAAAGCAAATGCTGTAATCACCATGTTTTCAAAAAGTTACTCACTGGGAAAACTAAAATAACTGTCCAAATCATATTGGTTTCAAACATAGGTATTTAGAGATAAAAGGGTTAATAAATAACTTGTTTTTAATGCGCATTATATAATAGAAATACAAACTCACTTGAGGATTTAGGACTTTCTTTTTTTCATAATCATCTTTAAACATTTCAAAGGGTGATCTCTATAGTAATACTGCAGTATTATACACCAGAGGGATATAAATAGTATGGGGCAAAATCAGCATATTACATCCTCATTCTTTTTCTTTCTGAGTCAATCATTTTATGTATGTATGAAATGCTTGCTCTCTCTGGGTACATATTGATGACTATTGAATGGGAAATCCAAAACAACTTATTGCTTACCTTGAACCACGAAGAGTAACATATTACTCTTCTTGAAAAGGGAAGATTTGTACTGGTAAGGCAAAATTATATTCCTTAAGAATTAGACTGAAGCAATGGGAACAACCTAAACATGATTACAAGTAGAAGATACATAAAAATAAGTTTAAGACTTAAAAATAATCCCTATGGTGTCTAAGTTTTCATCATAGTGTTTTGGTTCATTACTGTCAGAAAACAAAGAGTAAGAAACTGGAGGTTTTGGCTGTGATTAGAAAAGATTCAATAGGCTTTCATGGGCATTTTCTCCTAGTGAGACATCCTTTCTCATGAGGGCTTTGCAATTTAGTTCAGATGGTCCGTGTCCAAATTGCATGGATGCTGAGCATTGTTAGAGGGATGACAGACTAAATAGGGAATTGAACAGTGTGTAAGTCAGAATCTATCCATCTGGAACTAGCAAGCCAAGGCAAGAATTGCCTTATGATCTGCAATTTAGATGCTAAACATGAAGATTCTTCCTGAAATGAAATACAATATCTGGATCTGAAAATTCCAGCAAAGCACAGCTGTAGCTAACATCCTACTAACACCGACTCTCTGCATCATAGCTCATGCAAGAGCAGTTATGGCTTTCTGTGCTAAATGTTAAGCATCTGGAATGGAATTTCTTAATTGTTCTTTTAGTAAAGCCCCAAATTAGAGTCATAAGTCTACTGCAAGTTGACACTGAAAAATGAATGATCAGAAACTGTAAAAGGTATAGATTATAAAATATACTAAACATTAATGTAAATGGAAGAGATAAGCTTATTGGAATTAGTCTGATGCATGTTTTATACATTAAGCATTTCCTTAATTCTTATATAACAGATTATTCCCAAATCGCTTCTGAAGTTATTCATATTCTGGCTTTTATTTAAATATGACTCGAAAGGGGCTCTTGGAAACATAAATTAAAATGTCTAACATTCACTTTGTGTCAAGCAAAGGTTGAGAATTTTTCAATATTATTTTTTATGGTTTTCCTCAAGAAATATTATCACATCATTACTATTCTTACATAATAAATTATAAGATTAAATTCTTGATAAAAAATCACAAAGGGACCAGGTAGTTAAACTAAGACTAAATTTAAATCTTATTCCAAAATCATGATATTTACATTTCCATGAACTGTGCTGTAAGAAATTTGACTAGAAGCATCTTTAGGGGCAACTCCTTTTCTCTGATGAAATATGCTTTTCATAGCTAAGATTGGGTTTTCATCACCTTAAATGCATTCCTCAAATCTCTCATCTTCCATATAAAACATACATAGAAAATATAATTGTAGGGCTGGGGATGTGGCTCAAGCGGTAGCGCACTCGCCCGGCGTGCATGCGGCTTGGGTTCGATCCTCAGAACTAAGAAAAAATAAATGTTAAAATTCTCTCTCTCTGTCGCCCTCTCTCTGTCACTCTCTCTTTAAAAAAAAAAAGAAAAAAAGAAAATATAATTGTAGATGTAAAATTCTAAAACTGTTGGTGACTGGGGTGACTGAAAAGTATTTAAAAAAAATGTTTACACTGAGATATGCCCTGTCTCAACTGCTCTAATGTGTGAAAATTTCAATAAAGTATTTAAGATTTTATAAACAAAATATAAGACATTTTTGGGTAAAACACTATATTGCATGTAGGTAGGACAGTAACAAAAAGGAACATTAAGCCACTTCAAATCAATTCTAAAAACATATATTGAGTACCAGGTCAAGAGTAAGTTGTTCATTATTCAAGAAAAAACAGGCCTTGAACAAAGGCTGAGTTTTATTATTAAAAACAACAACCACCACCACCACCTCAGATTTCACTCTAGTTGGAACATTCAGTAATGCAGCCTTTGGTGTCAGACATATTTGTTTTAGATTTAGCTTTGCAACTTACTAGCTTTTGCTCCATTTTATTTTCCAAAGTGTTAAAATCACATTACTGTTATTTTTATTTGTACAGTCCATTATCTATTTTTTATTTGTCCCAATTAGTTCAGACATGACAGTAGAATACATTTTTGTGGGGGGAGGTACCAGGGATTGAAATCAGAAGCACTCAACCACTGAGCCACATCCCCAGCCCTATTTTGCGTTTTAGAAACAGGATCTCACAGAGTTACTTAGCACCTTGCTTTTGTTGAGGCTGGCTTTGATCCTCCTGTCTCAGCCTCCCCAGCTGCTGTGATTACAGTCATTCACTCAACTGATTCTACTTTTTGACCCTTGTGAATAAAGCTACCATGGATATTTATGTACAAGCTTTTGTGTGCATGTGTTTTCATTTGTTTTGAATACGCATCTAGTAGTGCAATTATGACTCCTATGGTAATTCCACATGTAACACTTGGAGGATCTGCTAGATTGTTTTCCAAAGCAGATGTACCCATTTTTCATTCCCCCAACCGCCATGAAACTTCCTCTATCTCTGAATTGTTATCGTCACTTGTTACTTTTAAGTATAGCTCTGCTTATCTTTTTGAACATATAGTATATAGTTATAATAATCATTTTATTGTCTTTGTTGATTCTACTATTTCAATAGTGATCAACAACTAACTTTGCTCCTCAATGTGAGCTTTCTTTTAAGTAAGCTTGGTAATTTTAATTGAATGCCAAAGCACATTGTATTTATTGGTTGGTGGAGCTTTTTGTTTATTTATGAATATTTAATGGGTTTTGCTTTTAAGTTAAGAGGCACTAAGGCAACGATCAGTCCAGGCTTAATTATTGCCACTACTAGAGTAAGACTCCTCTGTGTATTCTATCCAATGCCCCAAACACTGTGTGGTTTTCCAGCCCGATTACGATTACTTAAAACAACTACTATTTCTGACCTTGTGTAAGCTCCAGTATCTTAAAAAAAAAAAAAAAAAAAAACTTTCAGTAAGTTTCCTTAGACATTCTGCTCAACACTCAGTTGAATATTCAAGAAAACTGCAGAATTCAATTTCTCTCTCTGAGCAGTTCCATCTTCTGTATTCTGCACGCAACACTACCTTCCGGAATTTCAGCTTTATCTTGTCAACAGATGATCCTCTGGGCTCTGCTTGCACTGCATCTTTCAAAAGGCTTTGAAGGCAGTAAGCTCTCTGAGTCTATATCACTTGCTCCCTGATCAAGTCTTCCGTGTCTTGGAACACAGCCCCATTGTTTTCTTTCTACTGAAATCGTACATTTTTAAAATAAAGCGTGAATTTTATTTTTCCTGAAACCGAAAGTGAAGACAAGGCTTTTCCGCTTTCCTGCTAAAATAAGAAAAGCCCGACCTGCCAAACAAACTCACCCGCACTTGGTCCTCCACCGCCCACGACCTCTTGCGCAGGCGCATAAACCCTGCGCGCTCTCCGCGGCCTGGCCACAACTGCGCCTGCGTCAACCGCGCGGCGCGAATTCGCACCAGCCAATTAGAGCGCGCTGTGTTCTTAATTTCCGCCCACGGATTCAGCCTTCAATCGCCTGCTCTGGCGCGCAGTCCGCGGTGAATCCAAAACCAAAGAAAACTAGGCGCAGCGTGGTGCGGCGCGGCCCCGTCATGGAGGCGGTAGAGACGCAGGCGGAAGCTCGAGTTTTAGAGTAAGTATTCGCTAGCATTTCGCCTCTGGGAGCCGGGTGGAGGAGAACCTGTAGGCCCCCATCTACATGTTTGGTTCTTTGGATTCCGAACAGCTGTTGGAGTTCGACTCCTCTACGAATTGGTCCTGATCCCAGTTCTCAGTTTCAGTTTCCTGAAGTGCCTCTTGGCAGGCTCCAGGAGTGCGGCTTCTGAGGGACTAAAACCATCCATCATCACCCTGCCTCGCCCTCTCCCCAGAGGTGTGCCTTAGAAGGAGGACAGTTCCATCCCCGTCCTCCAAATCCCCTCACTCCTATTAGCCATTCTAACTGAATTTCCACTCTCTTGAGACAGCCTAGTCAGTCTACTCTCCCTAAATAACCATTTTCCTATGTGGTATTTTCCCCGTCTCTGCTCCCTGGTGGCCTCCTTCAGTCCCTAGCCAGGAAAAACCTGAGACCCAAGACCAAGATGCCCTGCCCTATGTCTTTAGACCTTCCTCAGGTATTCTCATACCCTCTTCTAAGACTAGTGCTCCCTGCAAGGAGGGCTTCCAAGGGCCATCAGAGCTCTGCCCATATTCTTAACTTTCCCTGCCTTTCTCCCTGGCTGCTTTCACATCTTGACTCAATTTCTTTTTCCTTTTTTTTTAAAAATATTTATTTTTTAGCTTTAGGTGGACACGAGCGCCCTGCGCATGGCAGGTGGGCGCGCTACCGCTTGAGCCACATCCCCAGCTCTTGACTCAGTTTCTTAGTGAGACTTTTCATTAAAGTTTCAGCCCTCTTCCCATATTCCTTTATCCCCTTTGCTCTGTAGATTTGCTTCACGCACTTAATTACCACCCTATGTTCTACACACACACACACACCCCAGGAGTGGTCTTAGGCTATAGACTCTTCAGGCCTTTGTGTAGATGTTGGTCAGGGTGAGACTCAGCATTGATAGCTCCTCTACCTGTGTATGTGAACTGTAGAGCTGGCAGCCCAGAAAACTGCAAACACCCATTTCCTGGCCTCCTTGCCTTCAGGGTCCTGGCTGAAGTGGCAGACATTGTGGAACCTATAGGCTTACAGGAAGAGGCGGAGCTGCCAGCTCGGATCCTGGCTGAGTTTTTGAGCGTATGTACACTGATGGGAGCCAACTTTTCAGAAGGCAGGGTCTGGTTCTAGAGCTTTCTCTTGAGATGCTGGGCAGCATTGATGAAGACTGAAGTGGAAGGCAGTTTTGTTGGCCTATGTTGCAAGTAGGTATGACTGTTCCCTGCCTCTACCCTTCTTCTGAACAGAATTCCCGAAAGAAAGACAAGCTGCTCTGCAGCCAACTTCAGGTAGTATACTTCCTACAGAATTTCCTGGCTCAGGAGGACATTGCCCAGGACCTGGGCCCCTTGGCTTCTGAAGACTTGAGCCGTGAGTAGCCAAGGGATTCAGGATTCGGGTAGGGGCTGGCCTGAGGGGCAAGGAGAGAAGAAGTGGATTGGGTCAGCTAACTGACTATAGAGAAGACTGAGGCCCACTATTTCAGGGAGGGAGGCTGCAGGCCAACTTCGCTCATACCTTCATTCTTGGTGGCTCATCTCAGGACAGAAGGCAACTGAAGCCAAAGAACAATGGAAAGAGCTGAAGGCTACCTATCAAGAGCATGTAGACGCCATAACAAGCATCACGACCCAGGCCCTGCCCCAGATGGAGGAGGTCCAAAGGAAGCGTGTTCAGCTCCAGGAGGCCTTTGAGCAGCTCCAAGCCAAGGTGCTATGAGGAAACTCGAGGGAGGGAAGGGAAGGAAGAGATGAAGAGGAAAAGAATGAGTAAACTAAACCTGATTGCTATCTCCAAAAACCCTATCTGAAAAAATATTTTCTTTACATCTCTCTTGCTTATCTGCAGAAGCAAGCAGTAATGGAGAAATTCAAAGCCTCCCAGAAGCAGCGGAAACTACAACAGGTGAGTCCTTCCTTTTCTCTAGGTTCCTGTTTCTAATTGGAAGTGACTAGGTCTCTGTTTTCATCAGTGAACTAGTTCTAGGCTGGTGGGATTGGAGAGATGGCACCAAGACTTCCACATTGGATGAGCTTTGTCTACACCTTCATTCCCAATAGGAGAAACATCTGCAGAGTCTGGCAGAAGTCTCTGCAGGGCTGAAGGAACGTCAGAAGGGAATTCAGCAGAAGCTTGAGCAGCTACATCAGGAACTTGGAACCTTGAAAAAGCAGGCAGAATGGGAACAGGATAAACTGCAGAGGTGAGATGGGAACATTGGCTGAAAATCGATGTAATCCAGCTGAGATTCTCTCCCCTTACACATACTTCCTTCCAGGCACCAGACCTTCCTTCAGCTCCTGTATACCCTGCAGGGTAAGCAGCTGGTCCCTGAGGCAGAGGCTGAGAGCAGAGCTACTACAGGAGCTACCCTTCCACATGTAACTGCTTAAGGGTAAGCCCCAGCAGTTGTCCCAACCCCTGGACAGAGGGTAAACACTGGGGACATCATGGAAGAGATTGGTATGTCCTCCAAAGTGAATGAGAATTGTAACAAATGGGAAGGCAGTAGAGGAGCTGCTAACTTGACATACCATACCTCACTTTCCATACCATACTTCTCCAAGGCCAGTAGCCCTCTATCTGCTGTAGACATGAACTTGCTCTGCCTGCCTGGCTGAAAGCAGTCTGGGCAAGATCCTAGAACAGGTCAACAGCTCATCTCAGACTTTGGTGTCCCTGAACTGCAGGTGTGGAAGAAAGGTGAACCCCTGGTGTGCCTTTTACTGCATTTGAGCTCTGCTACCCATTGATGGGATTGGAAGTGGGAAGAAGGAAAGAGATGTTATGGTGAAGCTTGGTACATCATCCCTATGCCAGACCCATCTGGTCTAACCCTCTCTCCATCTTCCCCAGCAGATTGGATTATGAATGCTTGAGTACGGCCTGATTTCTGACCGTGACCTAGGTTGAAGTCTGTCAATTAAAAGTCCTGGCTATCTCAGTTACCTGTTTGTTCATCTTCACAGCTGATAGAAAGAACTACAGATTTTCAAAGGCTAATAACATGATAGGTGCTGGGACAGGTGTGAACTAGATCGTGTAGATGGCCAGGGCCTTGAGTTTTTTGCCAAAATCCACATGAAGCAAACATGCTGAGCTTAATTCAAGGGGAAGACTATTTACACAGGTGGATAAATTTGGGAAGATATTGTTTTTCATTAACCCAAATGTTTGTTGAGTTCCTGTGTTGTGCTAAGGACCCATGATGTGAACTGGAGGAGCTACAGTGATGAGCTCATTTAACTTTTTTAAGAATGGCCTAATTTTACATTCCTGATACCCCTTTGTGTGTTATCTAATACTTTCCTTGGTTACTCTTCAGATGCTTGTTCATTTTATTACGTTGAAAGATTGGTTTTTATAGTCTGGCATTGAATGTTATGTTTCATTGACTTGTGGTTTCTGGATCATTTCCTCGCTTGTAACTTTGGGTGGAGAATACTACTTTTGTAAATTCTCATTTTTATCAGATAATAACTCTCAGTATTTGTTTTCCCAAATAAACACTTAATATTATAATTTCTTCCTCTAAGTTTTCACAATCATCCAATTCATGCCATTTTAAATTTTCTCTTTTTTTCTTCTTCCTGAATTTCTTTGAATAATAATTTTGAAGTTTTCTGCTATATCTTTGTGGGAAGATAATCTTCATAAATTCTGATTTGGCTAGAGAATGTTACCCGCATAATTAAATTTGAAAACAGAAGCCTCGATTTTTATTTTATTTTTTTAATGTCTGATATGAGAAAAGAATGTTTCTCTTAGAATTGTTAGATTATGTTTGTGTATGTGTTTGTTTGGTTATAATTTTCTATATACTTAGATTTTTGTGGTCTGAGTATTATCTTCTGTGAGAGGTGTGTTCAAGTCTCCAGCTATGATAGTGGCTTTGTTTATTTCTTTTAGTAGATAAGTTTGCTTATTGTGATTTATAGCTGCTTTGTTAAGGTACATAAATGTTGACATTTATATCTTTCTTCAGAACTGAACCTTAATTGTGCCAGAACTTTACCTTTATTGTGCCATTGCTCTCTAATCTTTAAGCCAATGGTTTTAGACTTGAAATTAAATACTTTTAATATCAATATAACTTTGCTGATTCTCTTTTGGTTATTCTTTGTCTGGCATATCTTTTCCTACTTTTCAAGTAGAACATTTTTGTTTCAATCTTTCTTCATCCTTAAATTTACCATTTCATGCAGCATTTAAAAGACTATTTTATAAAAAAATAAGGTTCTATAATATTTGTCTTTTCGATTTTATATTTGTGTCATTTTTTCATGTGCTTTTATTTATATCTTGGTTTTTATATTTGTGTCATTTTTTCATGTGCTTTTATTTATATCTTGGTTTTTTTGTATCCTATTATTCTTACTCTTATTCTTATTTAGAAGCTTTTCTCCACTAGTTTAGTTTTCATACTTAACAAAATCTTAAGTGTAAAGAATATTGATCTTCTTCACTGATAAATGGAGTCTAGAAGGCCATTACTATTGACGGATCATCCCATTATTAACTGCTGTTTTTGCCTAGTGTATTATTTGTAGCCTGTTTTCACAAATTAGACTTGTTTTATTTAGTCACTGCTTAATTTATTCATTTATTTACCATTCTTGTCTGTTTTATTTTTGCATTTTTGAACTTTTCATATGAAATAATATCACCTTGTGGAGATTTTCCTTTAGTGTTTGTAGCCTATATAACACTTTAGTTTTTAATATGAAAATATTTTCGCTGCTAGTGGTGGCACACTCCTGTAATCCCAGCATTGTGGGAGGCTGAAGAGGCATGACTGTTAAGTTCAAGACCAGTCTTGGCAACTTAATGGAATGCTGTCTCAAACTAAAAAATGAAAAGGGTTGAGAGTGTAGCTCAGTGGTAGAATGTCCCTAAATTCAATTCCCAGTACCTAAAAATAAGTGATTTCACCCTAATTCTTGAAAATACTTTCATTATATAAAAAATGATTGGAGTCAGGCACTTTCACTTAACATGAAATATATGTTCCCATGTTGATCTGACTTTCATTTTTGCTGATGACAAATTAGCTATCAGTTTTAATGTTCTGTGATATTTTTTTTATCCACTGGCTACTTAAACAACTCTTCTATTTTTGGTGCTTTACTGGAGTTGTACTAAGAGTATAGTATTGTGTTTATGAATAGTTTGAGGTGTGCTTTTTCATTTTTCTCTTTTGGCATTAACTGGAATTTCTAAGTCTGCAATTGTCAGTCTTTTAAGAAATAAAATGTATTTTCAGATTGGCTTTAAAATGTGCTCTTATCACCCTTTCATATTACCTTCCTCTAAGACCTCAATGAGATTTTCTTTTTTTTTTTTCATATTAACTGTCTTTTGTGTTTATCGTTATTCTTTTTCTCTAGGTTGCATTCTAGTTTCCTTAAATTCGTTATGTTAATTGCCTGTAATTAATCTAATTGTTGAATCATTAACTTAAGTTTTAATTTCTTTTTTTTTTTTAATTTCAAGAAGTTAGACCTGAGTCTTTTTTTTGAGCAGGGGTGGGGGTTATATTTTTAGTTGTGGCTCAAGGATCATATTTTGAGCCAGCATTTTATTACCTTAGACCGAATATATGTAAACACTTTGTTCTACTTGGTGGAAGAGTTTATAATTTAGAATTTTGTGGGCCAATATCACGTACTTTTTGTATTTGTATGTTGTAGTCTTACAATGAACTGTTCATTGTTTTCTAAACTTTATAAGTATATATTGAACTCTCATATAAAACAGGAGGAATTTGTTCACTTCTATCTACTCATTGATACTATTTAGAAACATTTAGAAAAATTATAAAATATGTAGTTTTATTGTTCTTTATATCTGTATGTTTTCCCACTTTTTATTTCTATTGAGGACTTTTGCCTTTTTTACTACTTCATTTAAAAAGCACAAAATGGCTTTAATACTGCTTTCACTGTGTTCTTTAATTATTTTCCTATTGTCTTGTTTTCTTATGCTTTCTTTGGTTTCTTTTTCAATATTTGTATAATTAAAAAATAATAGAAATAATATTTGATTAATGCCCCTTTCTTCTGATAAATACATTTTAGCATGCCCATTTTTATTTGAGTACCATGCTAAGAGTATCTCATATTTTAATACATGATCTATACATTATTACTAAATAGATTGTAATTTTAGTGTTAACTCAAGGAAGTTTCTTATATTGCTTTTACTTTTCAAGTGTCTTTAGAATACTGTTTAGTTTCTAAATGAATTTGAGAGAATTATTTATCATTTTTCATCCACTAATTTTTGTGATTTTTACTGTTAATTTTTATTTCATTTGTATTAAATGATGAAACCTATAACCCGTTTATTATATATTTATTAGTTTTATATATATATATATACACACACACACACACACACCTATGTATGCATTTTGTATGTGCATATGTAATTATAGTGCTTGAAGAGGAAAGATACACAAATATTTGTTGAAAATATAAATAGTTTAAAAAAAATGAAAAAGGAACATAACACATACATGAGGTTTTAAGAATTTGTATGGGGCTGGGGATGTGGCTCAAGCAGTAACCACGCGCTTGCCTTGCATGCACGGGGCACTGGGTTCGATCCTCAGCACCACATAAAAATAAAATAAAGATGTTGTGTCCGCCGAAAACTAAAAAATAAATATTAAAAAATTCTCTCTCTTTAAAAAAAAAAAAAGAATTTGTACGATGTTTCACAGAAGTTACACCAGAAAAGGCATTTTACTTACATGTTTCAACTTCTGTTCCATCCACCTTTTCTAAACTATTCCTTTTTTCTGACAGAGGTCTAAATATTAAAATATTCTCTTAACACATCATTTTCATACTGACCTCGTCCATCCCACCAGTCAGGAGTATTAATTCCCAAAGGAACCGTACAAAAAAGATAAAACTTTTTTAAGGTACTATTTTTCAAGTTGTTTTTTTTTTTTAATATTAAAAAGATAATAAACATTTTTTTAAAATTCCAGGTGATGTCACAATGTCAATAAACTGTTCTGTAGGCCTGCCTGGGCCTGGTGCAAGAAATGGAACAGTTTATTAAATATTCTTTATTTGTGTGATTTTTGTCAGGTAAATATTCTTGATATTCTGGATATTTCTGGCAAAGGTAATCCCTCTCCTTCTATCTTTACAACTTAAAAATTTATAAAACCAAGCCACTTCTAATATTTTACCTTGTTTATAATTTAATAAAAAAGGCTGTTTTCTGCTTCTCTTTTTTACATTACTAAAATTTTGTGTTTTATGGAAATGGCAATCAGTGAATGTGTTGACCGTCCCCTAAAAACAAATGCCTTTTTTCCCCCCTTTGTCATGAGTTCATATTTATATGAAAATGGTCTGTGTATTTTATCATTTTCATGAGCATATTCTTCCAAAGAGGATTAAAACAAATATCTATAAAGTATATGGAATTACCAGTCATAATATCTGAGAAATTTCTGTTAAGTTTGAAAATGATTCACACGTTAAATTTTCTCCTATTTTAGAGTATTTCTGAGGTTGACACATCTTAATCCTATGTTATAGAATCAACACAACTTGTAAAATATTTCTCTCCCTTTTGAACCTCTTTATGCCTTTTTTGTGCAAAAAAAATTAATACTGAGTGTGAAATTAAATAAATTCACTTTATTATTATTTGTAGTTCAGTCTTTAAATAACCCTTTGATACTTAGAATTATCAGGCACTGAGAAACTTAGTGTTTGGATTTGTAACCCATTAATTAATGTGCTTCTCTGAAATACCTTGCTCTTGAAACCTTGAATGACCTGGTTCTAGAATTAACATATTTTATATTTGTGTTGAGGACTTTTTAAACTATTGTTTTTAAGCAGTATAAATTCTTCAGCTTATGTTGTTAAGTTAAACATAAATCTTTTAACAAAGTTTTAAAAATAATCTTCAATGGCTGGTGCTGTGACTAAGCAGTAGAGCACTTGCCTCACATGTGTGAGTCACTGGGTTCGATCCTCAGCACCACATTTTAAAAAAAAGGCATTTAAAAAATAATAAGAATCTTCAAGACACTCTACAGTATATAAACATTAGATTTTTAGATGCTTATTTAATATGCATTTCTAAATATTAAATTGCCAGGGGGACTTGAACTAGTTAAAAAATAGTTATGTTGGTGCTAGGACTATAGCTCAGAGGTAAAGCACCTGCCTAGCATGTGTGATGCCCTGGGTTCCATTCCCAGCATCACAAAATGTTGTTTTTTGTTTTTTTTTTAAGTAATTATATTGAAATTCAATATATTATAACTAATCATTAAATAATTTATGCTTTATGTGTATATTTGAGGGAAAATATACTTTCCATATCTCCATATATGTAAGGCCTGGGTTGCCCTGCCCAGATAGTCAGAAATGAAGGACTAATTTGAAATATCTGTTTACTGAAATATGGCATTATTTCTGATTTGTTCATTTGGTTACTCAAATGAAGATAATCGTTTGCTGAGGTAAAATGTACTGTTTCTAGCTTGAAAACTCTGTTAGTAATGATTACAGTGCCTTTCTTCCAGTATGTCATTTTCAACATGAGAAAAAAGGAGGAAAAGGAAAGAAATGGTAAATTCACTATAGAAATTCAACCAAAAAATACGTAATACATGTACATGTTTGTGGTATGTATCTAGACACACACACACACACACACAAAAAAAAAACTGGT